CGGAAGTGGGGAAGATTCGGCTGGGAAGGGGAGGAGTGAGCAAATCAGCCGGCGTGGCACGGGATGACCCGGGCACTTGCAGATCCCGGGGCGCTGCCCATCCCACGCAGGCTCCCGGCGACACACAAGCGAGGAGGCGGCTTCCCCTCCTCCTCACACTCAACCAACTGAGGGCTCCCGGTGGCAAGTGCGGCCCCGCTTCCCACCTGGGACTCCCAGCCGCTCCTCCCACTCCTGCCAGGCTTCCGTCCGGCACCCAGCCGGAAAAATCAGAAAATAGTGGACATTGCACATGTCCAGTATTTTCTGTTTTTTTTTACCGGACAGAGCGCGCAAATACCGGACTGTCCGATACAATACCAGACAGCTGGCAACCCTACCACCAGGCCATCATCCCCCTGCCCCGCAAGCTCTACATCCCTGGTCTGCCCTTGAGCAACCCCCACACCTTTCCAGATGAGTCCTTGCTACAGGGGAGCAGCGCCTCCAGAGCATGGGCATCATCAGGTTGACACAGAAGCAGGAGCTGGGGGCTGCCTGGGCAGCATGGCCTGTAGACGTGGGCTAGCCACAGACATGGAGCCAAACATGTCGCTGAGCTTGTGTCCAAAGCCCCAGCAGCACGTGTAACACCAGGAACAGCCCTGACCTGAGCCACTCAGCAGCTGTGATCTTCCCATGCTGGGGGTGGGAGCTCCGGAGGTGGTGGAGGGAGTGTTGCCCAGGCAGCCTGGCTCAGGGGACTTCTTCCCATTCCCCAGCTGGAAACTACCCTTCACTGGGCAGCCTCATCTCCTCCCTGACAACTGCCTAGTCAGCCAATAGCTACAGCAGCCTCTGCTTGCACATTATCTTTTCCTTGCTAGATGAACAGAAATTGCTTGTTAGCAGAACTCACGAGCAATGTAAACAATATGACCCAGCCCTCCCACTGGAGACATACAACAGACGCGGGCCCTGGCCTCTTTGAAGCACCAGACTCCGTGGCTGCATCTCGGTTCTTTGTGGCCGTAGGAGCTCAGCTGTAGGGGCGGGAATCTGGAGGCCTGGGTTCCATCCCCTGCTCGCTCACTGGCTCACTGCGCCACTCAGATTCTCCCTTCGCGAGTGACACTTCCCCCCCGTCAAGTGTGTTGGGATTGACAGATGTAAGGCGCTGCATGAGCAACACAGCATTCATATTCTCTGAGGCAGCACAATTGCAGGGCAGATGCACAACTCCACGTGCCTGCTTTAAAGCAGACAGACACATGTCCCACGCACATGATCCTAGGCACGTCCTCTCTCTCTCTCCCATCCTTGACTTGTTTCAGGACTAATCTGTCTTCTCTTTAGAGGGAAATCTCAGCCCTGTCTGACTGTTACCCAGTTCTAGGTTTCTGGAACATCGGCTACTCTGTTACTTCATTATAAACTGCTGAGAGCTCAGAAAGCCGTTCCATCTCTTGGGCTCCACGCTTCTGGGTTAACCCTGCACTTGTTCTCAGCTCCTTTCCCAAGAAGCAGTACCCTTGGGGGTAGCTCTGGGATTGCAGGGATTTTAGGGTCACTTACTGAAATGTATTCAAGCAGGACCCCAAAAGGATGCTGAATGCTGCTTAGGCTCCAGTGGGACCTGCCCTCAGCAAAGCACTACCAGGGAGCTGTCAGCAGGCTCTGACGCCATAACTGAGGCTAAAGAAGGTGGAGGAGAGGGAGGAAGGAACCGTGTAAAGAGGGTTTTGCTGGAGGCTCAGAGCTGGATGGGAGGAGACATTAGATGCAGTGGGGGGAAACTTCTGAACAGCTGCTGTGATCTTCTCATTAGAATTTGAACCCACATTGCAGAGTTTGAACCTAGCTCTAAACTCTTGGTAGTTTTATGGAAGGCTTTTTAAGGCTCCCAGCATCTGAGCACATCTCGTACATTAACCAATTAATCCCCACAGCACTCCTACAAGAGAGACAATAGCACCAGTGTTCCCTGTAAGCTATGCACTTGTGTAGCCACTCAGGAGAGTTTATGCCAGCCAGGTGATTAGCAGAGTGCTCACAGCTAGGCTGTTTGGTTCCACTGGTGGTGCACATTCACACATGCCTTGGTGCACATACAAAAAAATTATTCCACACATGGCTGGAAAAGATTAGAGGGATCATTGAATAGCATCAAAGTGGGTCTTTGCCCACAAAATCTTATGCTCCAATAAATCTGTTAGTCTATAAGGTGCCAAGGACTTTTATTTTAATTTTACATG